AATTTACCGTGAAAAATTAAAATGAAAACAAACATTTGATGGTTAACCTGCAACCGACACTTTTCTAATAATAATAAAAAATAATCTAAAAGTTATACATTGTGTTTATAATTATTTATAATAAAATTAATTGCCAAAATAAATCCTACGTTCAAATGAAAAAAAATAGAAAACAAATAAAAAAAACTATATTTCAAAAAAATATTTTTAAAAATTATTACAAACAAAAAAAATCTTGTTTGGTTTGATATTTTTTTTTATTGCTAAAAATATTTTTTACTCTAAAATTTTTTATTTTTTAGAAACGTTTTCTTATTTTTTTTGCTATAGTACATTCGGAAATTTAAATTATTGCCTATTTCATTTTACTATGGTACATTTCAATTTCTACCATTTGCTATGTCTGATTTCATTTGTTTCGGAAATTACTATGGGCCATTGTAAAATTTTATTCTGAGTCAATAAGGTTCACTAGTAATATGCACCATTGTAAAATCTAAAATCCATGCAGAATAAAAAATAATGGAAATTTCTCACCGTGAACTTTTAACGATTTTGAGTCATTAAAATGAAAAAAGATGCTTCTACAAAATGATGCTCTTCATAAATAAACATATGAATTTTCCATTAGAACAAACTGATGAATGAGCAAGTTGGATAAAATCATTAGAGGTGTTCATGGATATGTACTGAGTCATACGAGAGTGTCAGGATAGCATATAGTATATCGCAAGGGAACAATGTCGCGCTATGCAAAAGAGTGAGGAAAAGAATGAGGAAAAATGCGTAGAAGCGAAAAAAAAGTTACGCAAAAAAGTGGCGCAATCTTTGAAGTGATGCCGCCTAGTAAGAGCTTCAGCAGTACTTGAGTGTGGAGCAAGATCAGGGGAAAGGCATCCTATTTTATCTTTCTAATGAGAGTCTCACATTCTACTCTCTGTGGGAAGACAGTGCACTTTGGCTGTATACACACGCCCGAATCACCTTAGATCTTTTCTCGGTGGCATTTACCTTTATCTTAAACTTGTCTTTAATTATTTATGTAAAGAATACAAGGCTTCCAGTTCATATGCTATTCATTCGCCAGCATATCTAATATAATTATCATCAACTACTTCCAATCTCACTCCAATCTTGTATTTAATTAAAATTTTTTTACATCAACGATCATCTCTTTCTTCACATTGTTTCATTGTATGTGAATTAACATCTATTACATACGAATAAACTACATACGAATACGAATAAACATAGACTTATTTTTTTTATTTTTACTAAACTTAAATAACAATTTTATTAATAATATTCGATATAATTTCATTAGTATATAAATTTTTATGAATAACACAGTTAAATTCTGGCTCTATATATTTTTAATCCACTGTTTGCAGTAAAATGATAACATAAGTTAGTGCCGTTTTAAAAACCTACAGAAAAAACAGTTATTCAATATATATTTATAATTAGAAAAAAAAAAATAATATCATTTTCATACCGATGTCAGAAGACTATTGTCGAGAGGTATGAGTCGGTAAGCGCTGAAATCTACATTTTTATGCAACAATTCCGTGGATAATTCTTCTATCTAAGAAATAACCGAATAATTAATTACAAAAATTTTAATTATAAATAATACTGAGAGAAAAAATATCAGAAGCTTATAAAATTTGACTTTTGTTAAGTATTTTTTATAAGAAAGAAATTATAAAGAACATGAAGAGAATTTTTCACTACTATAGTATGTTTTCACTCAGTGTAATAGATACAAAAGTACTTCATGTTTTATATCCATATGATTCGGATATTGAGCTGCGAGTTTATATATTATTGTATGTGTCCTTTTAATCTGCAATCAAAATAGAAAAATTTATACAAATATATGTAATTACACTGTCCCGTGAAAAGAATTTTCAGATATAGCTTGATATGTCCATATTTAGGGGAGAGGTGCTGCAATTGTAACAAAAATTTTTATGTTTTTTATTCCATTTGTTTTTTTTAAGATAGTCAACTTAAAAACTGTCAAAAAGTTAGTTGATAGTATCTTTTATGTGACTGACTTAGTTAATTAGTAAAAAGTCAATGTTAACTTATTAAAAAATTAATTTATTTAACTAAAGTCAGGGACCAAAATGGCGGCGCGCATGGGTTGCAATTATAACACAGTGCAGGGGCAATTGTAACACGGAACGAAATAGATATTTTTCATCAAATTGCTTTTATTATATAGTCTTAATACGTACTATTATACTTCATTAACTCTTAAAGTCAAGTATTTAAACTTATAGCATATCATATATTTGGATCTGTAATATAAATTATTGAACATTTACAAAACTACACAAACTACACTATCCCAGAGTAGATTTGTTGTGCATCCAGTTTGCGCAGATTCCATCCACGACTTTGAGTGTTACAATTGCTACTCGTTCAAGTGTTACAATTGACGCTCACGCTAATCTGTTAATAAAAATCTAATTACAATGTCAAAAATCAGTAAATTGATATGAAATTCGATTTTACAATACTCTTGATATGTCTCTTAAAGTATTAATGCAAGTCTCACATCATAACATTAGAAAACAAATTTTTTATTAAAAAAATTGTGAAGCGTACAAAAAAAAGTTTTCACGCGTATTTTCAACAATTCTCAATATTTTGATATCGGAACAAGATTAATAACTGAAACTTTGATCTTATCAATAAATTACTATTTTGAAGAAGTTAAATAAAGAATAATAATAATTTTTAGTTTTTTTAATAGTTTTTTATTGAGTGTTACAATTGCCCCTTGTTACAATTGCAGCACCTCTCCCCTAATTTTCGACCAAAGAGTGTGTTGAGAATCTCCGACAAAGAGCGCGTGATCGCTGAATCGTTTCCTTACAAGAGAATTGAGTTTGAAATACTGATTTTCAGAGAAAAAACAATTTTTATGTAATATTTTTAGAAGATTATTTAACATTAGTTTTCAATTAAACCCACTAATAAGCCAATTTTTCTTTCATAAAACATGTCAATTAATGTACGAGTTTCTAGAAAAGATTGTAATAAATAATTTTCATATCTGACGATATCAGAGAATTTTTTCACGGGTCATTACGGATTATTGTTATTATTAATAATTATCATCAATGGTTAATAATAATATACACTTTGAATAGTTTAAATTCGCACCAGTTTTCGCGTAATGGAATTTTCTCATTTTATAAATAAAATTTTATGACAATCCATTCATACTTTCGTAAATTGTTGCTTATAAGACAATTATTTGAATGGCATGTCTGTAGAATTTGATACAAGAATATTTCTCTTATAATACTGCTAGATTCTATGAACTGGGATTTTTTAAAATTATTTAAACTAATGGGAAACAATGTATTAATGAAACATAAAAGAAAATTCTCTAGTTAAAATTTAATTATCACTAAAATCCCGGGTCAAAAAATTTAATCTGTTTTATGATTAATGAAAATTTTTAATATTTTTTATTCAATTTAAATTTATTATGTGTATCTATTTTATATAAGAATTAAATCTGTTTTTGCCCGTACTATTCCCAATTCAGACCAATTTCAGATCACTTTTAATGTTATAATAAAATTGTTTTCTATTGTTTCAAGACCAAAATCAGACTTTTTTGTCACAATAATTTAATTGGTTTTGATCGCATCAAGGTCAAAAACAGATCAAAACGTTCCATAATTTTTAGTCGATTTTTCATCGCTTGTAGATCAAAAACCGACCTTTTACGGATTTGATAATAATAATAATATTAATAATAATAATAATAATAATAATAAAAATAATAGTAATATATTTATTTATTTTTATTTTATTCATGTCCTCGAAGATCCTCTACAGGGCACGGCTTTCCATTCTCTGAAACTGAAATAGTGACCATTCACTATTTAGTAGTGCAATGTATACCAAACGGTATTCTTTGCACTACCAAATAGTGAATACCGCTCATTAAATGATGCGTGAAAGTATAAAATTTAATATTAATCTTGTCATCTTGTCAGCATTTTAATCTTGTCGATGTATTGTGTTTAATATCGATAATTAGAAAACTCTAGATTTCGATCCATAATCAAACGATGAGAACTATTTTATATACGTATGTTAATACAAATTTATTAGTTATCACTGCAACTAATATTCGCAGTTACAAAACTTTTATAATCCATGAAATGCTAAGCTATGACAAAAAAATATAACAAATGTGAGGTTATAATCGACGTTCAGTTCATAAAACAAGAGAGCGCATGAATATATTTTAAATTAATTTATTTTTCTGCCCTCCGGCCGGAAAGTGGCAACTTTCTGGCCGCTGCGCTAAACAAAGTTGCCACATTCCGGCTACGTCGAGCAGAAAAATAGTATACACACCTTGGCCAGTAAAAAGTAAAGCCTCAGACCACATGTTTGTCAACCTCGGCTTCGCCTCGGTCAACAATTACATGTGGTCTGAGACTTTTCTTATTTTACTGGCCTAGGTATGTAATATACTATTTTCAAATAAATGCGACTTATAATTTTTAATGAGATACTTTTGAGTCCAAAAAATTATAAGTCACCATCTTAGTCGACTTTTGGCCTTCGAACATTTAGAGTGAAAATTGTAGATCAAAAACAGTATAAGATTTCAGATTGAATTTGAAAACAATACATAAAGTCCATCTACAAATTAATTAGACTAAAAACCGATCAAACTTTTAAAACTTTTTAGTCTTATTAGATTAGAAACAGCATAAAATATTCATAGCTGCTCAATTATTTTACTAAAAAGTTATTTAGACTTAAAACAGATCAAAAATAATTTGAATAGTAGATCAAATACAGATGAAAATGTTTTTAAAAGTTCAAATACAGATCAATAAGTTCAAATGCAGATCATTTAGCTTAAAATCAGTTTAAATTTTTCGACCCGGGATATGTTAAATTCTGTTATTGTTTGAAACACTGTATTTGTATTTCATACCTAATATAAATCTTCATTATTCGAAGTTCACGATTCTTACCTCCATATTAACTAATGTCACACCGTTTGTTAACACAACAGTCGGATAAATACATGCCAGCAATATTAAACTCCAATTGAAACACTCAAAAAAATTTGATATCACGTCTTTTTTAAATTCCAATGTCAACGAATACGCTGAATACACTATTTCGAAGCAATAATACCCAATGGCAATACAAATTAGCAAAGAATAAAATTGTGAAATTTCAGATAAAATCGTATTCAAATTAGAGTAGGCTTTTCGTACAAGAGCTACGCGCTTTAAAGTCATTTCTATATCAGACATATCTAAAACTTGGAAAAGTGAATAATGACATTTAAATTTAACTTTTGAATCCGAATGTAATAAGAGCGCTTCATTCAAAATTTTGTATTTTTTCCTGATGAACATAAGCATCATGGCACATTGAATTGTAAAACTCCTTATTATCAATTCTGGAAAAACGAACGTCATGATATTCATCACGCAATCATTTTTCCAAAGCAGGTATTCACTTAACATGTGCGCTACACCAATAAACATGAATCCGATGAATATTAAAATTTGGTCATATATTCCACTGTAATACGTACTGACATCGTTCAATTTTTCAACGATTTCACTCTCAAAGCGCAATAGTTTATTAAGAATATTTACTATTATTTTCTGCCGGATGTTAAATAACAAAATTATCATCATTTGCGTAAACTGCACCGTAAAAGCAAAAAATATGTCAAAACAATTCTGCATGTAACTCATGTTTTCAATTTCTTCATTATATCTTATCCAAAAATAATAGAATTCAAAAGGAATTACTGTCAAATATCCGATGAGACCGTAAACTCTTGCGCGGTTGGAACATATGAATTTGACACTGTTTTGGGTCTTACTCTTTTGAATCACTATCGATGACTTAAAAGAAAAAGGTGCTAATCCTAATGCTCTATACATCAGAGTAGTTATGCGAAGTAATGAAACGTTTGATCTCGAATATTCATTAGGCGTTGCCATTGTAAGATCCTCAACAACCCTGATATACTTTATGCACCCCAATTCTTTTGATGATGTCTTTTTTTTTAGAACTACACAGTAGCATTAAGGAGTATTTTTTTCGATTCATTCAAACACATATTTTTAACCAACGTGCGCTGTCAGTAAAATTATATTTACAAAGTTGATAAAACACTTACGTCTATTGAAAATTAATTTTTTATTCTGTTATTATTATTATTCTTCTATTGGAATTAAATAAATAAATAAATAAAATAAATATGATTTTTACTTGTATACAACCTTAGTGTGTTTTTACAAGGAGAGGGTGGGGATTTTATTTATTCTTCCACTTTTTAGTCCTCACTTTTTTCACTCTTGGTTATACCTTTGTAACTATCACATTTATTTTTCCCCTTGTTTTGCACCCCCCACCCCCTCAGTGTGGTAGATTTTTTCTACCACACTTTAGTGCGTTCGAGGTGGCGGCTGTGACCGACTTACAAGTGCTGTACGCATTGGCCTGTGCCTGCCCATTTAAGCTTTAGCACAGTGACCAAGGAAAACCACAGAAAACCTGGTCAGTACAGTTCGGCTACGAGAGCGACCCTCAGCGGTTGTTGTTGAAATCAATTTTCTAACAACCGCTGGGGCTCGAACCCGCGCCTCTCGGCACGATATCTGTACAGACTAACGCATTAGTCCGCACGGCTATCGCGGCCGA